AGAATGTCATGTGGGAGGGGCTAAATGTGGGCAAATTCTTTTATTTTTTTTTTCCAAACATAGAAAAAAATCCCACACCGTCTTACTTGCAAAATTGTGAGATTTATTAGGACAAAGTGCAACGTTTGCACTAGCCTTCGTCAGGAAACAGAATGAGAGCTACTGCCATCTTAAATGGGGAAGCACCCAAGTGACAGTGCACTCAACCCCATATCAAAAAAACAAAGACAATAACATACAGTGTAATGAAATAATAATGAATATTAATAATAGTAAAAGAAAATAAATAGAAAACAAGAAATGATTATTATATTTTCTATATTCTATAATTTTATTAATATTCAAATGAGTTTCTACTAATGATTAATATTCATTATTATTATTATTACACTGTATGTTGATTGTCTTTGTTTTTTGAATTATGGGGTTTTGTCACACTGAAATCCTTTTAATTTGGCTCTGTTAAAGTCACAGTTTTGGGTGTTGTCTCACACATGTGGACACATTTAATCAGATGTATTGATGATCACTCTGCTGAAATATGAGCTTCATGTAATCTTATATCTGTGACATGAAAATAAAAACCTCATTATTACAACAAATAGAGACTGATATTTTGATGAGTTTGTACTTATTTCCTGTTTGGTGCATTATGATGAAGTGTGTGTTGAAAAAGGAACACAGAGTCAGTCCAGTTAAAACATCATCGTCATCGTGTATAAAACTGCATCTTTCTCCACAGAGTCTATAGTTGTGTGTTAGTTGGAGTCTGTTCACACTCTGAGGATGGAGCCTCTCTGCTTGGACACTGTGTCCATCTTGAGTACTACACTTTGGTCACCACTAAAGACTTTACACCTGGGTCACTACATTCAAGTTGATGAAAGTGGACATGAATCTACATGTTTAGTGTTTTTATTCCAGCGTTTGTGTCGCCATCTGCAAACAGACACAAGTAATGATCTCTATTTCATTTGGATTTGGGAGTTATACTGCTATATGGATCAATGTTGATTTCAGAAACTTCAAATTTAACTTTAAAAGTAGTGGCTGTTTGTATAACATGATGCTAATTAAAGAAAATCAACTGAAGTCACTGGACCTTATTCATGAATCTTTGATTTAAAAATGTTCAAACTTCCACTTTAATAAAATGCTGAGAAAACTCTGGCCAATTCACAAAGTGTTATTAAGCTCACAAATTCTTTGCGCTAATTCACCAACATCGAGCTACAAAAAAACTACATCATTTACGTTCATATAAAAAAATGAATATGTATTTGTAAGAAACTCCTCTGAGCTTCCATGTATGGCCAATATGGTTTCATTATTATAAAAAGCACAAGGGAGAGATGAATTATCAGATAAGTAGAGATAAATAGAGAGGGAGGGGGTGGTGTAGTGTATTTGTTTACAGAAAAGACCCGCAGAGTTGGACTGACTGTGTCAAACACAGAAACACCAGTAGGGCAGTGTAACACTGAGCTGTGATGTACAGGATTGGACTGAAAACATGAATGGTTTAGACGAAATTATACTCTGGATCTAAATGGGAAATATTGCAAAGTGAACAACTGTCAGTTCTCTGTTGAGGAGTGTATTCATGCAGAGGACGACCATCATTCATCACAAAACTAAGTGATGAAGTCACTGTTGAGAAAACTGGTGAGTACAGAATATAAAGAATACATTACCTTTATGATCACTCCTTTAATTTGACATTACATGTTATAATATTATCCTTTTCACTAACTGTTTGAACAAGTTCATTTTTTTCTGTGTTTGTTTTAGTCCCCTTTGTGAGCCGAGTCAGTTGGAGGTATTTGTGGAGAGAGTCTGACTCTCAGCTGTGAGGTGGAGGGAGCAGACACACAGTGGACCTATCAGTGGAACAGGAACACACTGAACCTACGTCCAACAACCAGAGAATACAGAGTGTCCAGTGTGACTGAGTCTGACACAGGAGCCTACAGCTGCAGAGCCCAGAGAGACCCACACCTCATCACTGTGTGGAGCACCAGCACCACTGTCACTGTACACAGTATGTGCACTTTCACTGTACAAAGTGTGGTTTTGACCTGCATGTTTCTAATTGGTGAAGTTCATGTTTTGGTGTAATTATGTATTCTACAGACAAACCTCAGGTCACAGTGAGTGGACTCTCAGAGGTGAAGACAGGGGGCAGTGTGGAGCTGCTCTGCTCTGTCTCTCCACTTTCCTCTGGGTGGAAATATGAGTGGAGCAGAAATGAGCAGCTCTTTAAACAGTCTTCATCCAAGGCACAGGTGTCAGTGTCAGAGGGAGGGGAGTACCAGTGCAGAGCCAGCAGAGGAGAGCCTCCCTACTTCACAGAGCACAGCCACAAGTTCACACTCAGAGCCACTGGTCAGTTTGACTCTGACATGTCTCTTTATAGACTCCATTTTCTGATGTGCATATGTGCAGTACATGTACTTTTGTCTGGTGATCTCCTGTGTAACTGTGTGTCCAGACTCCAGCGCGCCCTCTCTCTCTGTGGAGCCCCCCTGGTCTCAGCTGTTCCCTGGAGAGCAGTTCTCTCTCACCTGTAGCGCTCATGGAGCAGGCGCTGAGTGGATGTTTGAATGGAGGAGATCTGGACAGAGTCTGGAGCACAAACAAAGAGAAATGACCATAAGAGCAGCAGTGACACACAGAGGCTCCTACAGGTGCAGAGGAGTCCTGCCCCACACAGTCACTGAGTGGAGCCGCCCCCTCACACTAAATGTGTCTGACAGTAAGTTTATATTTAATATGACACAATGACATGGGATGTGATGATCTAAATATAACATCTGCTCCTCAGGAGCTCCCCATCCTGTCCTGTCAGTGTCTGTGTCCTGGCTCAGTCCTGGGGCCTCTGTCTCTCTGAGCTGTGCTGTGACAGCGCCCTCTGCAGGATGGAGCTTTCACTGGTACAGGGCTGTTCCTCACTCACAGTCTTACACATATGAGCGGCTCCCAGGGGCCAGTGCCGCCTCTAAACACGACTCCTTCAGCCTCCAGGGCCTCAACCACTCAGCAGCTTTTGTGTGTCAAACAGAGAGAGGAAGTCCCTCCTTCTACTCTGAACACAGTGACCCCTCCTTTGTCTGGTCTGGAGGTACGTCCCACATGTTCATGTCCCTCACCTCTGAACCTGACTCACTAAAGTCTAACTCACTAAAGTCTGTGTTACTTAAGTCTGGGTCTTGTGCTCCTCAGAGGCTGAGTCTCCAGTGTCTCTCTCGGTCAGTCCTGACAGAGCACAGCACTTCACTCATGATGTCATCACTCTGAGTTGTGGGTTCAACTCCACTGGAGCAGACAGCACAGTCTGGAGGAGGTTTTCTGATAACACATTATCATCACAACAGTGTCATTGGAGTAAAGACAAGTCTAAATGTGAGTTTTATTTACCTGAGAAAACCAGTGCAGTGTTTTGGTGTGAGTCTGGATCAGGAGAAATGAGCAACGCCCTCAACATCTCAGTCCACAGTAAGTTTGATATAAAGTATAAGTAGTGAGTCTTTTAAAGTATTTTATGTGTTTGACATGTTTAACTTCACAGGAGACATCATTCTTATGAGTCCAGTGAGAGCAGTGACTGAGGGACAGTCTGTGTCTCTCAGCTGTAAACTCAAGAAAGGGACTTTTACTTCAGTCCAATTTTATAAAAATGGGAAAATGATTCAAAATGGAACTGAACCAGAGCTCAACATCACTGCAGTGTCCAGGTCTGATGAAGGCTTTTATAAATGTGAGGGACAATGGAAACCAAGGCCACGGTCAAAACCAAACACTGTCATATCTCCAGAGAGTTGGATGTCGATTAAAAGTCAGTGAAACTATTTTTTAAAGAACACATATTGTGCAAATGTACTTTTTTTCACCATGTTAAATTGTTGTTCTCTAATCAAATTTATGTTTGGAGTAGTGGAGTTGTATTTTTCCTTTTATACATGCTTTTTTCATTAATCCATGAAGTCATCCTTCTCTGAGCACTGAAAAACGCTCAGTTTACATTTTGTCAGTATTGTTGCAACACAGGTAAAACTCCAGACTTCTGCAGTTTTGATGTCCAGAAACCATCTCCAGACTCATTCTGTGATCAAACTGTGTTCACAACAAGTGCATGGCTCTATTAGCACAGTATTCATGTAGCCTAAGAGCTTCATTGATTCATTTGTTGACTGCCACACTATTAATTCCCATTGCTAACACCAGAGGGAGCTCCAATGCCTAAAAACATCATTGCAAACACAGGTGTAGTTTATCAGGAGTTTTCCAAATGAAAACATTATTTTAAGTTAGAAAATGTTCTTATTTCAAAGTGACAAAAAGCATGTTTAAAGGGGAATCTAAGCCACAAGAAAACATATCATGTATTCTTTAGAATAGAGTAAGATACAAAAATATAAACTGACTATAACTTTTTGTTTGATTACAGCTGTTCCTGTGTCTAAAAACGAGGCATCTTGGTTTCCTGTGATGTGGGTGGTTGGACCTGTGTGTGCAGTGCTTTTACTCATTCTGCTGCTGCTTCTGTGGCTCCACACAAAAACTAAAGGTAAAAAAGTGCTATTACAAACTATTATTTTCATGATTTACATCTGTTCTGTTTGGTGCGATTTGAAAAACACAATTCATCAAAAGCTTTGAAATGAGCAAAACCATAAACAGACATGCTGAAATGCATGTAGCTGACACACACTGATTTGACCTATATTATATGAAGTTAATGTAAAATGTGCTTTACTTTTGAGGTAATTTAAACAATTTTATCTAAACTGATTTAGTCTGTGATATAATGTTTGAGTTGATTTTTATCAACAACATAATTTAGTTTTTTTTTTTGTTTTTGTTTTTTTCAGACAGAAGCTCCTCCAGGTCAGTCTAGTCCTTTGTACATCATAATAATTCAAGTCTACAGTTTCTAGTTTATTTATTTATTTATGTTTTAACAATAGTGAGACTGGTGAAACTGGGGCGGGCCAAGACAATGAGCAGCAACTGTATTCATCTCTTCTTCATGGTCAGTTATCCAGATTTTAAAATGTTATTTTAAACTAAATCAAAACTATATTTTTACTGTTTGCTGCATTTTAGGCGACATTTGTTTGTACGAAACTATCAGAGACCCAAGAAACAAGAATGGTAAATTACTTTAATTCTCCATCATTATTTTTAGATTTAAATGTTTGTTTTACTTTCAGATGAACAACTTGGGGACTACAGCAATTTACCACAAAGGTTAATGTGAGAACTTAAAGGTGCATTGTGTAACTTTTCTGGTGGAGGGTCTGTCTAATACTTTTCTCGATGGAGATGTTATTGCTTTGTCTGGAATGTTTCACAGAATGGTATTAAACCTTTCTATCTTCATAAAGACCAAACCAGACCAAGTTACAGGTCGGGTCTGTGCAGAGGCGACATCGCTCACAGTCAGAATGTCTGTTTTTTCTCGGTATTATTCAGCCATAAAACCACCTGTAATTAAATAAATGTAAGGTAGAGCTGTTTAATGTCATACTGTGGAACATTCCTGGCAGAGCAGTGACACATCGATGGAAACAAACAGGTGACGAACCCCCAACTAAAACCTTACATAGTGCACACTTTAACACACATAATGAATTCAAGTCATTCACTTTTGATTGATTTTTCCATTTGATCTAGGTCTGTACAAACGACTTGAGCTGAGATGAAAGAGATCGTTTTCTGGACTAAAAGGCACAAAAAAATGACTTCATATGATACAAATTGACCACAACCTTAAAGGTACATTATGTAACTTTTTCAGGTCGAGTTCTGTCTCCTGTTTGTGTCCAAGGAGATGTTATTGTGTTGTTTGGAATGTTCTGACATTAAATTTATCTACCTTGAAAACACAGATCTGACTTGTAACTGAGCCTGCATGGCATCTCCTGCTTGTCTCCATAGAAACAAATACATTTAATGCCATACTGTGTAACATTTCATGCAAACCAATGAAATCTGCAGGTTCTTTTTTTTAAGTTTTTGTGCCTTCAACAGACTGTGACAAATCTTTAAGAGACCTGTTAAAAGACTGATTCATACAAAGCTCCTATTGTAATGGGATGATCAGCCTGTATAGATCTAATGTACAAATATTTCTGTTATGTAGTTAAACCATTTGTTATTTTTTGTAATCATGTGCTGTGTGACTTTCATGTTATTCGACACTGTCCTTTTTAAAGATTTGACATCAACTTCCCTGTTTTATTTTTGTTGTATTATCTCTTTGACACCTTGAGCTGCATTTTACAAATTCTTGTTTTATATAAATGAGGACCTAACAGCATGTTCCATGTTAAATAAAACTTTCAGATGGTAAAAGCTAATTTTATTTTTATTTAATCTAGATAATTTCTGTAAATGTACGGACAAAAGTCTTTTAGTGATTTTCAGACCTATACATTCCATCTGTCAGATTTCTGTTGAACTGGAAATATTGACCTGATGTATTTTACTCCTGATGATACAATAACAGTAATAACAGTGATTCTCTTGAAGTTTCTGTCCAAGTTCAGTAACAATTTGCAATTTGAAACAATATATGTCTTTTGAAAGATTAAATGTCCTCTGTACCTTCTGTAACAAAGAATTTTAGACAATAGAACAACAATTCATTTCCACATAGTTACATGTTTGGGCTTTGAGGTGAATTTTATTTAAACATTCTAAAACTATATTGATAAAAACATTGACATTTTACTGAACCCCTTAAAAGCAGCAGTACCGTTCTGTCAACAAGGGTTCCTTGTGTTTCCCATCTTCTTTTCACTGTAAGAGTTATTTACTTACTGTCTAAATCTGCAGGTATGTCAAATGTGTGAGGAAATTAGAATAACATAGTTGGACGATTGTAATCTGCTATTTTAAAACATCTATTTGAACAGGGAGTGAGTGAGACATAATCACATCATAGAATCTGAAAGTGACAGAAATGTGTAATTTGATCAGCAGGGTCTTTAACAGACTAATCCAGGGAGACTTTTGTTCATCTGCATACGTACACTGATCTAAACAAGGTCATCAGACAACATTAGAGTCTACATCATCTATGGGCCCGGTCAAGCAGAAGTATACAGCAAGGCCAAAAATTCAAGTTAATACATCTGATATAAAAATGTATTCAACAGATAGCATATGTACTCTAGTTTATGAAACTGTTTACATTTTTTCTGTACCATTTTTGGTTCTAAAGTTACATACGTTTTAAACAGACCATGTATGAAACATGGAACAAAAAATATTTCCCAAATTTCAAAGACCTGCAAATCATGTAAATAAATTGATGTATTTCATCATATCTTGTGTTATTTGATCTTTGAACTGTTGATGAAGGTACATGATTTAAAAAAAAAAAAAATTTTAAATGATAAAAATTTGCTTGGAAGGGCTGACATATTTTATAGAAATATTTACCTTTCATTTTGAAGTAATATTAAAGTATTCGGAAGAAAAAAGCTGACAAATTATGCAAAATGCACATTCTTACTTTTCCCTCTGTTTCCATGACCTTTCTTAATAAAAAATCTCATTACTCAAAAAGTAAGAGGTTTTACAACCTAATCTTGTACCATATGGTAGAAAACTATATGAAGCAAATATTCAAACCAGTTTGTTAAGGATATGTAAGTGAGAACCGCTAGTTATCACTGTTTGTATTTATTGCCCAAAACGTGCTGCATATTTCATTCCCTCCGTTACCGACATGAGTTCTTTTATTTATTGTCAACAACTTGAAAGAATATTGCAGGTTTAACTTTACCCTGTTGGAGTGTTAACTCTTTCCTACATTCTAATACCTTACTTATTTCAATAGTCCCTCTAGTTTCTGAATAAGAGCTATTTGAATGTAAAAAACCTGCCCTTGTTTCCCTCCATTACCACTTGACCGGACCCCTATTCAACATCTGTGAACTTCCCTATGTGTTCCAACATACAGACTATAGCTGCAAACAACAGTGAGGCTGCAGTGGCTCATTCATTACATACATGTATTGCACTGGCACCTCAAAGTCTATTTTCAACCTTATTTTAATGTGTGCCCTTATTTCTTATTTTATTTGATCATAGGTTATATTATTATTTTACTAAAGTTTAAAGTTTTATTTACCTGAGAAAACCAGTGCAGTGTTTTGGTGTGAGTCTGGATCAGGAGAAATGAGCAACGCCCTCAACATCTCAGTCCACAGTAAGTTTGATATAAAGTATAAGTGTGAGTCTTTTAAAGTATTTTATGTGTTTGACATGTTTAACTTCACAGGAGACATCATTCTTATGAGTCCAGTGAGAGCAGTGACTGAGGGACAGTCTGTGTCTCTCAGCTGTAAACTCAAAGAAAGATCATGTGACCAGCAATGAAACCAAACACCTCCCCATCAAAAAGTAATGTATTACTTCTATAAGAAAACAGAGAGAAGCTCTATTATGTGTATGTGGGTGTTTTTTTTTTTGTTTTTTTTTGTTTTGTTTTTTCTTACCACTGTGTTTCGTACCAAAAAAAAAAAAAGGAAAGCAAAACAAAACAAAACAAAAAAACATCCTGAACTGATTACTGAGGAATATAATATTTTGGCAGTTCACACCTGCACAGGTTCTGAGTAGGAAAATTAATGCAAAAAAGAGATAGACAATAGTGGCAAAGAAAATACAAAAGATTGAAATAGCTATTTTAAAATGTATTTTGTCTTTCAAATAAAAGTTACTCTAAAATCCATTGACCGACATGTTACCAAGTGTTTTTGAAGATCAGGTTTAAGAAAGGTAATTAGTAAGTAAGTTTAAGTAAGTAAGTAAGTTATTTCTCTTGTGCTGTAAAAACACAGCATGATCAGATCTAATTATTGGTTTATTTGATCATTCTAGTTTTCATTTTTTTACTGGCCATGTAAACGAGCACATGAAGTGGCTCAAGTGCAGATTTCAAATGAGTGATAAAACCTTCACTTTTATTCTGCAAACACTTGAAATCTATACAACTCAAAGGACTTTTTTCTATTTTATCAGATATTAGCTTCAAAATGCTTAATGTCCCACACTACTAAACATATTACTAAAGTAAAAAGCGACACATGTGTATTTCCATTATCCATAATACAATTTGGTTCATTTCACAGATGCCATTTATTCCCTGCTTGAACTAAAATATATGAGAGGTGAGTTTGTTCCACCTATTCTGTATTTAATTTATTTATTTTACTTATAATTTTTCATTTCAGGGAGGAACAACCCCCCACAAGACGAGAGCTGTGTTTATTCTAATATTCGTCCACACTCTTCAGGTAAAACAAAGCTCTTAAAGCTCTTTGCTTCTGTTATAAAAACCTGGTTAGTACTTGGATGAGAAAACACTGGGAAAATCAGGTGCCACAGTGGGGGGCCACTTGAAAAACCTTTGTTGTGTCCTTAGGCAAGGCACTTCAGCCACATTGCCTAGTATGAAAATGGTGTGTGTGTGAGTGTTGATGGTGGTAGGAGGGGTCGATGACGCAGATTAGTAACCACACTTCTGTCAGCTTGCCCCGGGGCAGCTGTGGCTACAATAGTAATTTACCACCACCAAGTGTGGAGTGAATGAACAATGCTCTGTAAAGCGTCTTTGTGACATATGTCTGTGAAAAGCACGATATAAATAAAAAGTTACTTATGTGGAGTTGATTTTGCACTTCAACAGTTCAGGCCTTTCACCAAAAACTTGTCTGATATCGAACTATTGATGAAGCTAAAATGCCCAAAAAATAATAATTAAAATAAATGTTACGGTTTGGCAAGAGGGACCCCAAAGCAAAACCAGGACTCAGTCAAGTTTTAACAGTTTATTTTACAAACGGAAGGCAGGCTGAGGAGGCAGGGAGCTGGCCGGCTTTTCCAGAGGCAACGGCAGACAACCACAGAGACACCTGGGCAAAAACAGGAGCAGGTAAGTCCAAAACGAACAATAAGCAAAATAGGTAAATATCCAAGAGCCTGATAGACACTTCCGAACAGGACGGAATTATCTGGCAAAGTGGTGGTGAGAAGACCAGGGCTAAATACAGAGGCGGATGAAGGAGTTGATTGCAGATGTGTCTCTTCTGCTCTGGAAGAAGCCACGCCCCCTGCCACACTCAAGCTCTGCAACAAAAGGGGAGGGGGAGAGAACAAAAAAACAAATCCTAACAATAAATATACATTAGTTTATTACATTTGGTTACTTTCTTGTTTTTTAAATAATGCATTTTCTCTAGAATAACACTATAACAATAATTAGTTGAAATAAAGCTAAACTATTTTACTAGGTACTAGATTAAAAAAGAAATCAAATAAATAAATGAAATTATTGTTCCAAAAATATGTTATATCCAGATGCAATTTGGGAGAGAAGAAAAAATATGAATATAAATTGTTGTCATTGTTGTTGTTGTTTTTAGGTGAAAATGTGACATATGCCCAAGTAAACCATCATAAAAAGAAACAGAATAAAGGTGAGTCAGTCTTGATTTATCACAAACAAACTTCAAACATGAATCTTTACTCTGCATATTTATAATGAAGTAAACAAATAAATTCAGCATAGTGGAATTTCTAATTACAATAACAATTATAATAAAAAATTTTTGGGAACTAAAGGTTTTTGGACATTTGGAGTTATTTCTTTCCTTCTTAACAGCAGAAAACACCTTGGATGACAACATCTACTCTCACATCAACCACCAATGATTTCTTAAGGATGAATACAACTTTTTAATGCATTTGTAAATGTTTAATATTGTTTCATGAAATGTATTTGTGTGTGCACATTTATTTCATTATTTTATGTTTTTTTTGTTTTGTTTTTTTTACTATAAATTTATAATTTTAATATATTTGCTATACAACACACAGTGATGGTTTCCTATTTTAAGCAACATTCTTTAATAAATGTAAGTTGTTTTTTAATTTGCGTTTTGTTTTTTTGTTTTCTAACCCAGGACTAATCCAGGGTTACATCAACATCAACGTACAAGTATGTGGCCGAGTGGAAAGGGGCGGGGGGGTAGCACTCAATTTCTCTTTTATTAAAGATCCCAACCAAATTCTAAATATTGTTGCCAACAACGCCACCTAGTAGGGGGACTAGGACCCAATAAAAAGGCTAGGGTTCAATACCCAGGGGTGAGCAGCAATTAAAACCAGAGATTAAAAACAATCCCAGTGAATTTATTACAACTTTAAGTAAAATAAAAAAATAATAAAATACAGTTAAAAGTATGTTGAACCTGGGCTAAAACAATTAACAGTTGCTAAAATGTCAACAAAAAAAGGAAAAAGAAGGCTGAAGAGTTTATCCAGGGCAGAGCATTGGATCCAACTCCTTCCCCCCGGCTTCAGCGTTGTAGCCCTCCACGCACGCTCCCCTGGCCGCCTTCTCCACTCCGCGGCTCGGCCCTGCCACAGAAGAGAGCTGCCAGTGGGGAGAGAACGTGAACCCCTTCGCGCTGCCCCACCCTTGTGCGGGAAACTCAGAATTGGAGCGGCTTTTTACCCCCCCCTGCGCAATAAGCAACAGGTGTGCGCAGCCAATGTCCCTCTCGCTCCTCAGGTTGGGGGTGTGGTTTAACATAATAAAAAAACACAGCCCTCTGCAAACAGAAACCCAAATATACATACAATGAAAACAAATCATAACAAACTAAAATAATTTGAAACACACACAAACCATGCAACAAAAACAATAAAGGGCATCTTCCCACAAGTAGAATCACAAAGATTTATTACAGCTAAAAAAGGACTAAAAAGTACATCATATTTTACATTTAGCTGAAATATCCTTAAAATATATAAAGATCAAATAATCAAATCCAAATAGTGAAACTGCCCCCAAACATTAAACCATCTAAACGAGAATTAGTTTAGTTCATTTTAAGTAGTTGGTGGTGAAGTAATAAAACACTTTTGTAAATCACAGCTGAATGACTTTTACATTTTATGAGATTGCAACTTTACTTAAAAGAAAAACAAAACACATTCTACTTTTATTTAGTTTTTAATTGTTCTTTTTCTGATTCTCTTCAACACATTTTTCTGAAAGCGACCGACTCTGTTATTCCAGCAGGTGACACTGTGAGGTGTCAGACTGAGGCTCTTAAAGGTTGTATAGAGGATTTTCTAAGGAACGAGAAATCCAGCGACTGTTTGTCCTTTTTCAAATGTTGCGCATGCGTGAAACCACCCCCCCCTCCCCTACAGCTCCCTACGTAGAAACGCCTTCTCCCGCCTCCTCTTTATGCCAGAAACAGGTTTGTTTACAGCCGGTGAGCTGCACATGACTTGTAAACAACTAACTACAGTGTTGGTTAGGCAAGACGGAGAAGTGAGGAGCGGGGGGAGCGGGTGTGCGGATATTTCGTTCGCGGACGAGAAGTGAGGAGCAGGGGGAAGAGCGGAAAGGGCAGCGGGGACAGGAACAGGAAAGGGGTGCAGAGAAGGTTGCGCGGAGATTCAGTGCGAATGAACTAGCTACAACACGCAGCAGCAAGCGGACTCTTTATTTGCCTTGAAAATTACGTTTTCAGACATAGGATATCGCTTTCGTGTCCTGAAAAACGTTTGACTAGCTCTTGGAAATAAAGTACGTTTTCATAATAAGCAGAAGTTACCTGTCCAGGAGTAATTTGGCGACCAATGCGTCAGTCTTTAGACCCTGCGTCTGCTTCAGTTGCGCCATCGCTGGAATGAATCTTCAAGAATCACCTTAGTTTGGCTTCGCTGCTTTTCCCCTTGTCTTCTTCTTTCAGCGACCTCAAAAACGGACTTTCTTTTGCGGCTAACTGCTCCTGCATTCTTGTCGCCATTGCAACAAACTTTGTGCTAACTGCGAGGAAGATATAGGTCAAAAAAAGCCGCTAAGAACTGTTGCGTTGGTGGAGTAAACAGCGTCTGTGCGTCTTGCGTCTGTGGACTGCGTGACAGGCGTACGTAAACCACGTACCGGCGGCGCGCAGGCAAGTCAGTTACGCTAGAAACGTAGGGAGATTGATTGACAGCCTGTCAGCTAACAGATAACGAGGCAGTGTCGTTATTTATTGGCAAATGTTTAGCTGGCCCCACCACGTCCAGAGTTGATGAATTTTTATTCTCTTTTTTTTTGGTCATCATAATTACAAGGCTACTGCACCTCTATAATGCTATCATTGACAACTTGAAACAAAAAAAAAACAAAAAAAAAAATCCTCCATACAACCTTTAAAGGCAGATATGAGTCTACTCTCCACAAACATAATGACTTTGAAACAGCAAATGGACATTCAGATTCAGTCAGTGTCTCTCGTGGAAAAGTCAAAGTGTGCACAGGATTGGGACAGTCGTTTGTGTGGTACACCTAAAAATGTGTCACCACATTTAATAATTGTTATGGTAGCTATCATTATTATTGTTATTGATAATAATTTCTAATAATTAAGAGGATATATTTCCTTGACTCCTCTTGACTTTGAAGAAGCCTCCTGACATGATTTTAGTTGTTCAAGACCCCTGTGCGCATTATTTGTTTAAGCTATGTTGTGACTGAATTACACTGTTTAATTGAAAATAAAAAAAAAACATATCTGGGAAGGAAACGCAACTGTGGCAGTCATTGTTTTCCTAAGACTCTCTTTCTATTCCACAGATGAATTCTTTTTGTTGTCGCGTCCGCACCTGGGACCGGTAACATTTGGAACAAAAAGGAGTAACTTTATGAATTATGATTAAAGGAGAAATGTGAGTATGTTTGGCTTCAAATATAAAGTCTGTACAGTATATAGGCACAAGGGTCAAAAAGGGCCAACACTTTTAAAGAAGACGTATTGTGTTTGAGTCTGCTTTGTAGTTCTATGACACCAGTGGATCATTATGTTTGGACAGTTTAAATCACAATATTCATCTAAAGTGACTTCATAAAAAAGAAACAAAACGTGTGACATCTGTGTTAAAAAACTGCAGTGTTATTGGGAGCTGACGTTGCTTTAAATGTAAATATCATAACTACTGTAAGAGTCGTGCAGTTGTGGACTAAAATACTTCATATGATACAATTTGACCTCAAACTTAAAGGTACATTATGTAACTTTTCTGCTTGCCTCTGTGGAGATGTTGTTGCGTTGCTTGGAATGTTCTGATATCAAATTTATGTACGTTGCCTTTATTCAGTTGTATATTTATCTACCTTGAAAAAAATGAATTCCCTCCACAGATCTGACTTGTAACTTAGCCTGTGTGTCTCCATGGGAACAGATAAGTTTAATACTATGCTGTCTAACATTTCACACAAACCAGTGAAATCTGTAAATGTCTTTTGGTTATGTTTTTAAAGTCTACGAGTTTTGCCAGACTGAATGTGACAAATGTTCCCAATATTTTTAACCGTACAAGCTTCAGCTGCAAACAACAGTGACACTACAGTGGCTCTTTCATTACATGTGAACTGTAACCTGCAGGTTTCAAGTATTATCATCACAAGTGACACATTGTAGTTTAAAGGTGCACTGTGTAACTTCCTTTGTCCGGATTGTTCCTTAGAATTATATTAATCGTGTATCCCCATGAAGACAGGCAGCATTCTCACACTAAGAATGCATGTTTCTCAATTGTTGTTTATTTCTTTACATTTTTATTATTTTATTCTAATTTAATTTTTTGCAATAAAAACAGTTGAATTGAATAGATACATGATTGTTAAGTTTACTGCCATGTTGAACACTCCAGGCAATGTAATAACATGTTCAAAGTTTCATAGCACTTGCAGTTTTATTTAGTTGACAGTGGACTTGTGTTCGGTGTGAAAACAGTTATACAAAGAGGAAGAGAAACCCACATCTTTCTGGGTTGCAGCTTCACCACAGCAGTCTGAGATTACACAGTGCGCTCACACTCAGAGCCATTTCATCGAAAGCTACAGCCAAACTACTGCTCACTCAACTATTAGACTTGTTGAAAATATTTGTACTATTTGTATTTTTCTATACTGATACTACTACGCTGAGTTTGTAAATTGCCAAAAAACAGCCTACAGTCATTTCATAATCGTTTTTTTTACTCTTACAATGATCAGTGTGATTGGCCCATCAGTGTTGATATTCAGTGTGAATATAGACTTTATGTACAAATTGCAGTGTTTTTCTTTTTTTTTTTTTTTCTTCATAAAACTGTCATAGATTAATATTTTTTTAATTTTTTTTTTTTTTTCCCCAGAATGGGTTCTCTTTTCATTGACATTGTTTCTATTCATTACCATAAATAATGAAACCTTAAGATGCCAGTTTCTGTCCAATATTACTTCCAGCAAATTAATTATATGCATTAATTCAATAATAATATGTTTTACTCTGACTATTTACCTGTACTTCTCAGTGTGACTGGCCTATCAGTGCTTAGTGGGAAGATTGATTTGTCTGATTTTTGTTTCATGTTTTGTTTTGTTTTGTTTTACTGTCAGTTGGAACACAAAGGTTTTGTCCAGGCTGATTTCTCCCATAGGCTTTTATTGTAAATGCATAGTTTTATCTAAGCTATAACACACACCCTCAAACTAAGTGATTGTGTTTTGTATACAGACTATATACTATCATATTTTTTACTGAATTATGAAAGTTCAGATTTTGTCTAATTGTTTTCACAAGGCATGTTTGATTTCCTCTATTACACTATCAGACTATGAAAATCCTCATGAAGTGGATTTTACTGCTTTGTTCATGAATAGGCTGTTTTTACATAGAGATACATCACCTCTGAATAGGCACAGAAACACATCCAAACCACTTTTAATGACGTTTTGCATTTTCATCTGGTTTTTCAGGCATGAACAGTCCAAATGTGACAATATGCTTTGCACAAGGTGAGAGAATGTCATGTGGGGAGGGGCTAAATGTGGGCTCAAATTCTTTAAATACTTTTTTTTTTTTTTCCTAGAACATAGAAAAAAAATCCCGCACACCATCTTACTTGCAAATTGTGAGATTTATTAGGACAAACTGTGCAACGTTTTGGCACTAGGCCTTCGTCAGGCAAACAGAATGAGAGCTCAGGTGGCCATCTTAAATATGGTGTGGTAAGCACCCAAGGGTGACAGTGCACTCAAAACCCCATAATTCAAAAAACAAAGACAATCAACATACAGTGTAATGATAATAATAATGAAATATTAATCATTAGTAGAAAAATCATTGAATAATAATAGAAAAATAAGAAAATGATTATTATAATTTTTCTATTATTCTATAATTTTTCTATTAATATTCAAATGAGTTTTCTACTAATGATTAATATTTCATTATTATTATTATTACACTGTATGTTGATTGTCTTTGTTTTTTGAATTATGAGGTTTTGTCACACTGAAATCCTTTTTAATTTGGCTCTGTTAAAGTCACAGGTTTTGGGTGTTGTCTCACACATGTGGACACATTTAATCAGATGTATTGACGATCACTCTGCTGAAATATGAGCTTCATGTAATCTTACATCTGTGCACATGAAAATGTAAACACCTCATCATTACAACACAATAGAGGCTGATATTTTTGATGATGTTCGTACTTATTTCCTTGTTTGGGTGCATTATGATGAAGTGTGGTGTGAAAAGGAAGGAAACACAGAGTCAGTCCAGTTAAACATCATCGTCATCATGTATAAAACTGCATCTTTCTCCACAGAGTCTATAGTTGTGTGTGTAGTTGGAGTCTGTTCACACTCTGAGGATGGGAGCCTCTCTGCTCTGGACACTGTGGTCCATCTGTGAGTACTACACTTTGGTCACCACTAAAGACTTTACACCTGGGTCACTACATTCATACTTGGTGAACGTGGACATGGAATCTACATGTTTATGTGTTTTTATTCCAGTGTTTTGTGTCGCCATCTGCAAACAGACACAAGGTAATGATCTCTGTTTCATTTGGATTTGGGAGTTATACTGCTATATGGATCAATGTTCATTTCAGAAACTTCAAATTTAACTTTAAAGTAGTGGGCTGGTTGATAATAACATGATGCTAATTAAAGAAAATCAACTAAAGTCACTCGGCCTCATTCATGAATCTTTTATTTAAAAATGTTAAGAACTTCCACTTGAAGAAAATGCTGAGAAACTCAGTGCCAGATTCACAAAGTGTTATTAAGCTCACAAATTCTTTGCGCCTAATTCACCAACATCGAGCTACAAATAAAACAACACTCCTTACGTCTCATATAAATAAAAATTAATATGTATTTTGTAAGAAACTCCTCTGAGCTTCCATGTATGGCCAATATGGGTTTGGCATTATATAAAAAGCACAAGGGAGAGAGTGAATGAGGTCAGATAAGTAGAGATAAATAGAGAGGGAGGGGGATGGTGTAGTGGGGCATAAAAGTGTGTTTTGGTCATGGGGGGTCGATGGGGTGATGGGGGTAGGAGGGGCTGGGGTGGGACAGGCTGAGGGTCACTGGCACAGACAGTACACAATCTAGAGTCACTGCAGTCTGTATAGACACAATAGACTACATGGTCTATAAAAACTCCTTGGAAATGTCATTGGTTTACAGAGTCATATTTTTATGAGAAATAATAAAAAAATAGATAAGTTACAGTTACAGTTAATTACAGTCATGGGGTAATTAGATTTTTTATGAAAGTTATAATATTTTTAAAACACCTGATTTTTTTGTTTTTATGAGTACTTCTTCCAGAACATTTCAGCTAAGAAAATATTTTGTGAATGTCAAAAATGTTTGTAAAAATAAAAATGTGTTTGCAAGAACACTTCATGAATGAGGCCCATTGTTTTAAATGCAATGTTCAAGTCCCACCAGCTTCTCTCCTCCAATCTGTCTCGAGAGTTAAGTACATCATAAAATATCCATCTTTTCCCATGAGTCTGTTCATGCTCCTCTTCTGTTGAGTTACAGGTGACAGGTTCACTCTGGATGTTCCTGGACAGTCTGTGTATCTGGAGGACACAGTGACTGTGAGGTGCACAGCTCATGGTGAAAAACATCTGCAGTTTTACAAAGATGGAACACTTGTACAAAATGACACACAACATGTGCTGTTCCAACAACCAGACTTTACAGATCTGATCATTAATTCAGTGTCAAAATCAGATGAGGGTTTGTATTTGTGTGGAGCCAGTGAGGAAACACGATCAGATGAAAAAGAACTGAAAGTTACAGGTAAGATGAGCACATGATCCTCCATAAATTATAAAAATACTACACCAGAAGTTTATTTGTATTTGTTCCTCTTTGTTTACAGAAAAGACCCGCAGAGTTGAACTGACTGTGTCAAACACAGAAACACCAGTAGGGGGCAGTGTGACACTGAGCTGTGATATACAGGATTGGACTGAAAAAACATGAATGGTTCAGACGAAATTATGACTCTGGATCTAAATGGGAAAATATTGGCAAAGTGGAACAAACTGTCAGTGTCTCTGTTGGAGGAGTGTACTCATGCAGAGGGAACGACCATCATGTCGCCACAAAACTAAGTGATGAAGTCACTGTTGAGAAAACTGGTGAGTACAGAATATAAAGAATAATATCACTCCTTTAATTTGACATTTACACGTTATAATATTATCCTTTTGTCACTAACTGTTTGAACAAGTTCAGTGTTTTTTCTGTGTTTGTTTTTAGTCCCCTTTGTGAGTCCGAGTCAGTTTGGAGGTATTTGTGGGAGAGAGTCTGACTCTCAGCTGTGAGGTGGAGGGAGCAGACACACAGTGGACCTATGAGTGGAGCAGGAGCAGACTGAACCCACCTCCAACAACCAGAGAATACACAGTGTCCAGAGTGACTGAGTCTGACACAGGAGCCTACAGCTGCAGAGCCCAGAGAGGCCCACACCTCACCACTGTGTGGAGCACCACCTCTGTCTCTGTACTCAGTGAGTCTGTTTTCTGTTTACACTTTGACTTTACAAAGCAGCAGGTGAATGAAGATGTGGCCAAAGGTGTCTTCTGTTCAGAACAGCCAGAAGTGCACCGTATTTGTTTTTGTGTGTTGGGCAGGGGCAATTGATTATTGCAATGTCAGTTTAAATGTACTTTACACTATTGGTGTTTTCATATGTTTAATTTTGAATGTCAGTTGTCAGGAAGTCAGTGCTCCCCCTGCAGGTGGAGTCAGGTACTTTGAGCTGAGAGAACTTGTCCTGGAGCAGAGCAGGGAGGATGGTGTTGAACACAGAGCTGAAGTCCACAAACAGGATCCTGGTGTAGGTTCCCAGAGTCCAGGTGCTGCAGGATGAAGTGGAGGCCCAGGTTAATGGTGTCCTCTACAGACCTGTTGGCTCTGTAGAACTGGCAGGTGTCCAGGAGGGGGAGGGGATGGACTTGAAATGTGACACAACCAAACACTCAAAAGTCTTCATGACTACAGACGTCAGGGTCATAGGCCTGTGGATATTGAGCCTAATGATCCAGGGCTTATTGGAACACGAACAATGATGGAAGAATTGCCAAATCTGATTCTTCTTGGAAAGTTGTTTGGGAATTGGAGTTGTGGGTTGTGTTTTGTGGTTGTTCTTTGCACCTTCACATCATAAAAGTTGTAATTTTTTACCTTTGTTCCTCTTCTGTTTCACTGTAATAAACCCAATAATAACTACATTACAAGTTATTCATGTCAAGTCAATATTGATGCAATATATATTGGAAATATACACATCTCAACATTTTGTCATCAGACAAAAAAGTATTTTCTCAGTATTTGCTCTCTGTTGCACAGATGCCAATCTGAAGCCTGCAGACTCCAGTCCAGTCTGTGTATCAGGGGGACTCAGTGACTCTGGTCTGTTCTGGTCCTGCTCAGAGACAGTTATTCTTCTTCAAAGATGGAAAACCTGTTCAACATCAGCCTCAGCACAAATCTACAACAACAGTCCAACTGAAAATCAGTCCAGTGTCAAAAACAGACCAGGGTCAGTACTCCTGTGGGATCAATGAGGAAGTACAATCACACAAAAGGAGACTCACAGTAAAAGGTCAGTATTTAACACAACTACTCCAGTTCATCCTCACACTTCAAAGTCCTGCAATCACTGTCAAACAAACTGGTGAGTCCTGTTCTCTGGTCCTGTGGTCATCATCAGTGTTTCCTTCTGTAGTTGAAGTATTTCTCTTTTTTCTTCTTTTTTTACATGTTTCCTGGAGCTGAGTGCATGATCCTCCCTGAATTAAAATGACACCAGATATTTGTTTGTATTTGTTCCTGTTTGTTTACAGAAAGTACCCGCAGAGTTGGACTGACTGTGTCAAACACAGAAACACCAGTAGGGGGCAGTGTAACACTGAGCTGTGATGTACAGGGTTGGACTGAAAAACATGAATGGTTTAGACGAAATTATGACTCTGGATCTGAAAGGGGAACTATTGGCAAAGTTGAACAAAAAGTCAGTGTCTCTGTTGGAGGAGTGTACTCATGCAGAGGGAACGACCATCATGTCGCCACAAAAACTAAGTGATGAAGTCACTGTGAGAAAACTGGTGAGTACAGAATTAAAGAATATATTACCTTTACACATCGCTCTCTACTTCAATTTGTCATTTACATGTTATAAAATCATCTTTTTGTTACAAACAATTTGAACAAGTTCAGTGTTTTTTCTGTGAATCTTCCAGTCCCCACTGTGAGTCCGAGTCAGTTGGAGGTATTTGTGGGAGAGAGTCTGAGTCTGAGCTGTGAGGTGGAGGGAGCAGACACACAGTGGACCTATCAGTGGAACAGGAACAGACTGAACCTACATCCAACAACCAGAGAATACAGAGTGTCCAGAGTGACTGAGTCTGACACAGGAGCCTACAGCTGCAGAGCCCAGAGAGACCCACACCTCATCACTGTGTGGAGCACCAGCACCACTGTCACTGTACACAGTGAGTCTGTTCTGTTTACACTTCGACTTTACAAAGCAGCAGGTGAATGATGATGTTGCCAAAGGAGCCTTCTGTCCAACATTGGACCAATATTGTTTTTGTCTGTTGGGCAGTGGCAATCGATCCTTGCAATGACAGTTTAAAAGCACATTAAACTGTTGGTGTTTTAATGTGTTTAGTTTTGAATGTCAGTACTGAGGAAGTCAGAGCTCCCCCTGCAGGTGGAGTCAGGTACTTTGAGCTGAGAGAACTTGTCCTGGAGCAGAGCAGGGAGGATGGTGTTGAACACTGAGCTTGAAGTCCACAAACAGGATCCTGGTGTAGGTCCCCAGAGAGTCCAGGTGCTGCAGGATGAAGTGGAGGCCCAGGTTAATGGTGTCCTCTACAGACCTGTTGACTGTGTAGAACTGCAGGGATCCAGGAGGGGGAGGGGATGGACTTGAAGTGTGACACAATCAAACACTCAAAAGTCTTCATGACTACAGACGTCAGTGAGTCCAGTGATATGGGGCTTCTTGGAGACTCAAACAAGGCTGGAAGCATTTAAACAGGCCAGGACATGGTATGGTACCAGGGAGGTGTTTAAAGATGTCAGTGAAAACAGGAGTCAGCTCATCCACATAGTGTCTCACGGCGGAATTAGAAACACTATCAAGGCCGGGTGCTTCTCAGGGTTCAGCCTCCAGAAGAGTTGCCAAGTCAGATTCTTTATAGCCATTTTGGGCTTCTATTTTTGGAAAGTTGTTTACAAATTATTATGACACTTGTGGGGTTTTTTTTAACGCTTACACTTTGCACTTTCACATTATAAGTGGTGATTTTTCTTCTTGTTCTGTGTTACTATAATACACCCAATAATACAACTACTCTGAACCACATTTACCCTGGGTTGCAGAGTTAATATTCTTTTATGAACTCATGTCTGAAAATATACCATCTTTTTCCCTTTTGCAGAAAGGCAACGCACTGTCACTGTGGAGACCTTTGTTTCTCAGTTATACCAGTAGAGGGCAGTGTGACTCTGAGCTGTGCTGTAGCCGGTTGGAATAAAACAATTAATTGGTTCAGACAAAAATTTTACCCTGGATCTAAATGGGAAAATATTGCAAAAGTGGAACAAACTATCAGTGTCTCTGTTGGAGGAGTGTACTCATGCAGAGGGAAGGACAATCATGTCATCACAAAACTAAGTGATGAAGTCACTGTTAAGAAAACTGGTGAGTACAGAATATAAAGAATACATTACCTTTACACATCTCTCTCCTTCAGTTTGACATTTACATGTTATATTATCATGTTTTTGTCATAAAACTCTTTAAAAAGTTCCTTTTTTTCTATGAATCTTCCAGTCCCCACTGTGAGTCCAAGTCAGTTGGAGGTATTTGTGGGAGAGAGTCTGAGTCTGAGCTGTGAGGTGGAGGGAGCAGACACACAGTGGACCTATCAGTGGAACAGGAACAGACCAAACCTACGTCCAACAACCAGAGAATACAGAGTGTCCAGAGTGACTGAGTCTGACACAGGAGCCTACAGCTGCAGAGCCCAGAGAGACCCACACCTCATCACTGTGTGGAGCACCAGCACCACTGTCACTGTACACAGTGAGTCTGTGTTCTGTTTACACTTTGACTTTACAAAGCAGCAGGTGAATGAAGGTGTGGCCAAAGGTGTCTTCTGTTCAGAACAGCCAGAAGTGCAGTGTTTTTGTTTTTGTCTGTTAGGTATCAGTGTTTGATTTTTGCAATGTCAGTTTAAAATCACTTTACACTATTAGTGTTTTGATATGTTTAATTTTGAAATCCAGTCTGTCAGGAGGTCAGTGCTTCCCCTGCAGGTGGAGTCAGGATGTTGAGCAGAGAGAGCTTGTCCTGGGACAGAGCAGGGAGGATGGTGAACACTGAGCTGAATTCCACAAACAGGATCCTGGTGTAGGTTCCAGGTGCTGCAGGATGAAGTGGAGGACCAGGTTAATGGCGTACTCTACAGACCCGTTGGCTCTGTAGAACTGCAGAGGTTCAGGAGGGGGAAGGGGATGGACTTGAGGTGGGACACAACCAAACACTCAAAAGTCTTCATGACTACAGACCTCACTGTCACAGACCTGTGGTTATTGAGTCCAGTGATCCAGGGTTTTCTGGAGACTCGACCAGTGATGGAAGAATTGCCAAATCAGGTTCTTTACAGCATCTTTGGGCTTGTATTTTTGGAAATTAGTTTGGGAATTTTGATAGTTGTGGGTTGTGTTTTGGCCTTGCTCTTCGCACCTTTACGTCATAAAAGTTGTAATTGTTTTTACCTTTTTCCTGTTCTGTTTCACTGTAATAGACCCAATAATGACTACAATACAAGTTATGAATGTTTTAAAGTCAATACTGATGTAAAATATGTTGTAAAAATGCACACCTCAACATTCTGTCAACAGAAATACATTATTTAAAAGTGTTTTCTCAGTGTTTGTCCTCTGTTGCACAGATGCCAATCTGAAGCTGCAGACTCCAGTCCAGTCTGTGTATCAGGGGGACTCAGTGACTCTGGTCTGTTCTGGTCCTGCTCAGAGACAGTTACTCTTCTTTAAAGATTGGAAAACCTGTTTCAACATCAGNACATTAAGTGAGACCTCACAGAGAGTCAGTGTCTCCAGAGGAGGAAATACAGCTGCAGAGGACAGGACCAGTTCATCCTCACACCTAAGTCCTGCAAGTCACTGTCAAACAAACTGGTGAGTCCTGTTCTCTGTCCCTGTGCTCAGCATCAGTGTCTCCTTCTGTATTTGAAACATTTCTCTTTTACACATTTCCCAACACAGTGTCTGTGCGTCCAAACTGGCCTGTGTTATTTGTGGGAGAGAGTCTGACTCTCAGCTGTGAGGTGGAGGGAGCAGACACACAGTGGACCTATGAGTGGAGCAGGAGCAGACTGAACCCACCTCCAACAACCAGAGAATACACAGTGTCCAGAGTGACTGAGTCTGACACAGGAGCCTACAGCTGCAGAGCCCAGAGAGGCCCACACCTCACCACTGTGTGGAGCACCACCACTGTCACTGTACACAGTGAGTCTGTGTTCTGTTTACACTTTGACTTTACAAAGCAGCAGGTGAATGAAGATGTGGCCAAAGTTGGCTTCTGTTCAGAACAGCCAGAAGTGCAATGTTTTTGTTTTTGTCTGTTGGGTATCAGTGTTTGATTTTTGCAATGTCAGTTTAAAATCACTTTACACTATTTGTGTTTTAATATGTTTAATTTTGAATTCCAGTCTGTCAGGAAGTCAGTGCTCCTCTGCAGGTGGAGTCGAAATGTTGAGCAGAGAGAGCTTGTCCTGGGACAGAGCAGGGAGGATAGTGTTGAACATTGAGCTTGAAGTCCACAAACAGGATCCTGGTGTAGGTTCCCAGAAAGTCCAGGTGCTGTAGGATGAAGTGGAGGACCAGGTTAATGGCGTTCTCTAAAGACCCGTTGGCTCTGTAGAACTGCAGAGGTTCAAGAGGGGGAAGGGGATGGACTTGAGGTGGGACACAACCAAACACTCAAAAGTCTTCATGACTACAGACCTCAGGGTCACAGACCTGTGGTTATTGAGTCCAGTGATCCAGGGTTTTCTGGAGACTCGACCAATGATGGAAGAATTGCCAAATCAGATTCTTTATGGCAACTTTGGGCTTGTATTTTTGGAAATTAGTTTGGGAATTTTGATAGTTGTGGTTGTGTTTTGGGGCTTGTTCTTCACACCTTTACGTCATAAAAGTTGTAATTTTTTTTTTTTCCTGTTCAGTTTCACTGTAATAGACCCAATAATGACTACAATACAAGTTTATGAATGTTTTAAAAGTCAATACTGAAGTAAAATATATTGTAAAAATGCACACCTCAACATTCTGTCAACAGAAATATGTTATTTAAAAGTGTTTTCTCAGTGTTTGCCCACTGTTGCACAGATGCCAATCTGAACCTGCAGACTCCAGTCCAGTCTGTGTATCAGGGGGACTCAGTGACTCTGGTCTGTTCTGGTCCTGCTCAGAGACAGTTACTCTTCTTTAAAGATGGAAAACCTGTTCAACATCAGCCTCAGCATGAACCTACAACAACAGTCCAACTGAAAATCAGTACAGTGTCAAAAGCAAACCAGGGTCAGTACTCCTGTGGGATCAGTGAGGAAGTACAATCACACAACTGGACACTCACAGTAAAAGGTCAGTATTTAACACAACTACTCTGAACCACATGTGCCCTGGTCTGCAGAGTTCATATTTTTTATGGATTTATGTCTGAACATTTTACCATCTCTTTTCCTTCTTTGCAGAAACAAAACGCAGTGTCCTTGTGACACCATTGTCCTCAGTTATCCCAGTAGGGGGCAGTGTGACTCTGAGCTGTTACATAGACGGGTTTACAGGGGGATACACATGGTTCAGGGGTAGTTATTCTCAAACTGAAACATTAAGTGAGACCTCACAGAGAGTCAGTGTCTCCAGAGGAGGAGAATACAGCTGCAGAGGACAGGACCAGTTCATCCTCACACCTCAAAGTCCTGCAGTCACTGTCAAACAAACTGGTGAGTCCTGTTCTCTGACCCTGTGGTCATCATCAGTGTCTCCTTCTGTAGTTGAAGTATTTCTCTTTTACACACTTCCCAACACAGTGTCTCTGACTCCAAACTGGTCTGTGTTATTTGTGGGAGAGAGTCTGAGTCTGAGCTGTGAGGTGAGGGAGCAGACACACAGTGGACCTATCAGTGGAACAGGAACAGACTGAACCTACGTCCAACATCCAGAGAATACAGAGTGTCCAGTGTGACTGAGTCTGACACAGGAGCCTACAGCTGCAGAGCCCAGAGAGACCCACATCTCATCACTGTGTGGAGCACCAGCACCACTGTCACTGTACACAGTGAGTCTGTGTTCTGTTTACACTTTGACTTTACAAAGCAGCAGGTGAATGAAGATGTGGCCAAAGTTGGCTTCTGTTCAGAACAGCCAGAAGTGCAATGTTTTTGTTTTTGTCTGTTGGGTATCAGTGTTTGATTTTTGCAATATCAGTTTAAAATCACTTTACACTATTTGTGTTTTAATATGTTTAATTTTGAATTCCAGTCTGTCAGGAAGTCAGTGCTCCTCCTGCAGGTGGAGTCGAAATGTTGAGCAGAGAGAGCTTGTCCTGGGACAGAGCAGGGAGGATAGTGTTGAACATTGAGCTTGAAGTCCACAAACAGGATCCTGGTGTAGGTTCCCAGAAAGTCCAGGTGCTGCAGGATGAAGTGGAGGACCAGGTTAATGGCGTTCTCTAAAGACCCGTTGGCTCTGTAGAACTGCAGAGGTTCAAGAGGGGGAAGGGGATGGACTTGAGGTGGGACACAACCAAACACTCAAAAGTCTTCATGACTACAGACCTCAGGGTCACAGACCTGTGGTTATTGAGTCCAGTGATCCAGGGTTTTCTGGAGACTCGACCAATGATGGAAGAATTGCCAAATCAGATTCTTTATGGCAACTTTGGGCTTGTATTTTTGGAAATTAGTTTGGGAATTTTGATAGTTGTGGTTGTGTTTTGGGGCTTGTTCTTCGCACCTTTACGTCATAAAAGTTGTAATTTTTTACCTTTTTCCTGTTCAGTTTCACTGTAATAGACCCAATAATGACTACAATACAAGTTATGAATGTTTTAAAGTCAATACTGAAGTAAAATATATTGTAAAAATGCACACCTCAACATTCTGTCAACAGAAATATGTTATTTAAAAGTGTTTTCTCAGTGTTTGCCCACTGTTGCACAGATGCCAATCTGAACCTGAAGACTCCAGTCCAGTCTGTGTATCAGGGGGACTCAGTGACTCTGGTCTGTTCTGGTCCTGCTCAGAGACAGTTACTCTTCTTTAAAGATGGAAAACCTGTTCAACATCAGCCTCAGCATGAATCTACAACAACAGTCCAACTGAAAATCAGTACAGTGTCAAAAAGCAAACCAGGGTCAGTACTCCTGTGGGATCAGTGAGGAAGTACAATCACACAACTGGACACTCACAGTAAAAGGTCAGTATTTAACACAACTACTCTGAACCACATGTGCCCTGGTCTGCAGAGTTCATATTTTTTTATGGATTTATGTCTGAACATTTTACCATCTCTTTTCCTTCTTTGCAGAAACAAAACGCAGTGTCCTTGTGACACCATTGTCCTCAGTTATCCCAGTAGGGTGGCAGTGTGACTCTGAGCTGTTACATAGAGGGGTTTACAGGGAGATACATATGGGTTCAGGGTAGTTATTCTCAAAACTGAAACATTAAGTCAGACCTCACAGAGTGTCAGTGTCTCCAGAGGAGGAGAGTACAGCTGCAGAGGACAGGACCAGTTCATCCTCACACCTCAAAGTCCTGCAGTCACTGTCAAACAAACTGGTGAGTCCTGTTCTCTGTCCCTGTGGTCATCATCAGTGTCTCCTTCTGTAGTTGAAGTATTTCTCTTTTACACAGTTCCCAACACAGTGTCTCTGACTCCAAACTGGTCTGTGTTATTTGTGGGAGAGAGTCTGAGTCTGAGCTGTGAGGTGAAGGGAGCAGACACACAGTGGACCTATCAGTGGAACAGGAACAGACTGAACCTACGTCCAACAACCAGAGAATACAGAGTGTCCAGAGTGACTGAGTCTGACACAGGAGCCTACAGCTGCAGAGCCCAGAGAGACCCACACCTCATCACTGTGTGGAGCACCAGCACCACTGTCACTGTACACAGTATGTGCACTTTCACTGTACAAAGTGTGGGTTTTGACCTGCATGTTTCTAATTGGTGAAGTTCATGTTTTGGTGTAATTATGTATTCTACAGACAAACCTCAGGTCACAGTGAGTGGACTCCCAGAGGTGAAGACAGGGGGCAGTGTGGAGCTGCTCTGCTCTGTCTCTCCACTTTCCTTTGGGTGGAAATATGAGTGGAGCAGAAATGAGCAGCTCTTTAAACAGTCTTCATCTGAGGCACAGGTGTCAGTGTCAGAGGGAGGGGAGTACCAGTGCAGAGCCAGCAGAGGAGAGCCTCCCTACTTCACAGAGCACAGCCACAAGTTCACACTCAGAGCCACTGGTCAGTTTGACTCTAACATGTCTCTTATACTACCAGATGTGTGTGCAGTACATGTACTTTTGTATGGTGATCTCCTGTGTAACTGTGTGTCCAGACTCCAGAGTGCCCTCTCTCTCTGTGGAGCCTCCCCTGGTCTCAGCTGTTCCCTGGAGAGCAGTTCTCTCTCACCTGTAGCGCTCATGGAGCAGGTGCTGAGTGGATGTTTGAATGGAGGAGATCAGAACAGAGTCTGGAGCACACACAAAGAGAAATGACCATCAGAGCAGCAGTGACACACAGAGGCTCCTACAGGTGCAGAGGAGTCCTGCCCCACACAGTCACTGAGTGGAGCCGCCCCCTCACACTAAATGTGTCTGACAGTAAGTTTATATTTAATATGACACAATGACATGGGATGTGATGATCTAAATGTAACATCTGCTCCTCAGGAGTCCCCCATCCTGTCCTGTCAGTGTCTGTGTCCTGGCTCAGTCCTGGGGCCTCTGTCTCTCTGAGCTGTGCTGTGACAGCGCCCTCTGCAGGATGGAGCTTTCACTGGTACAGGGCTGTTCCTCACTCACAGTCTTACACATATGAGCGGCTCCCAGGGGCCAGTGCCGCCTCTAAACACGACTCCTTCAGCCTCCAGGGCCTCAACCACTCAGTAACGTTTGTGTGTCAAACAGAGAGAGGAAGTCCCTCCTTCTACTCTGAACACAGTGACCCCTCCTTTGTCTGGTCTGGAGGTACGTCCCACATATCCATGTCCCTCGCCTGACTCACTAAAGCCTGACTCAGTAAAGCCTGACTCACTAAAGTCTGATTCACAAAATTCTGACTCACTAAAATCTGACTCACTAAAGTCTGTGTTACTTAAGCCTGGGTCTTGTGCTCCTCAGAGGCTGAGTCTCCAGTGTCTCTCTCGGTCAGTCCTGACAGAGCACAGCACTTCACTGATGATGTCATCACTCTGAGTTGTGGGTTCAGCTCCACTGGAGCAGACAGCACAGTCTGGAGGAGGTTTTCTGATAACACATTATCATCACAACAGTGTCATTGGAGTAAAGACAAGTCTAAATGTGAGTTTTATTTACCTGAGAAAACCAGTGCAGTGTTTTGGTGTGAGTCTGGATCAGGAGAAATGAGCAACGCCCTCAACATCTCAGTCCACAGTAAGTTTGATATAAAGTATAAGTAGTGAGTCTTTTATGTGTTTGACATGTTTAACTTCACAGGCGACATCATTCTTATGAGTCCAGTGAGAGCAGTGACTGAGGGACAGTCTGTGTCTCTCAGCTGTAAAATCAAGAAAGGGACTTTTACTTCAGTCCAATTTTATAAAAATGGAAAAATTATTCAAAATGGAACTGAACCAGAGCTCAACATCACTGCAGTGTCCAGGTCTGATGAAGGCTTTTATAAATGTGAGGGACAATGGAAACCAAGGCAACGGTCAAAACCAAACACTGTCATATCTCCAGAGAGTTGGATGTCGATTAAAAGTAAGTGAAACTATTCTTTAAAATAAAAAAAATACCTAAATACAAAAATAAAAGCGTATTCTAACTCATGATCACAGGTGCACCCAAAGGTGAGCTCTCTTCTTTTCCTGTGATGTGGGTGGTTGGACCTGTGTGTGCAGTGGTTTTACTCATAATACTGCTGCTTCTGGGTCGTTGTTTAAAGACTAAAGGTGGGATTTCAGTCTATATCAGTGTGCCTATATGCAATACTGTTTACATTTTACTACTGGTTAGTTTCATTTTTTTACATTTTGATTTTCATTTTGCAGACGTGCGCTTTCTGAGGTTGGTCTCTTTCTGTTTTTTTTTTTGTTTGTTTGTTTTGACATACTATTTATGGGATTGTTTAATTTGTGTGATCATTGACAATTTGGGCAGGACTCAACGAACCAATCAGAGCTCTGCTGAAGATCATGTGACAAGCAATGACCACACCTCCCCTACAGATGGTAAATTATTATTCATATAACTGGAGGAAGAGAAGCACATTATGTCATAGTGGTGTGATGTTTGCATGCACACCAAAAACCTGGTGATCATTATCTGATTTCTGGAGTTATCAGATCATTGAAAATCCATGTGAACAGTTATGTGAGTATCTGAGTGTTCCACTTGTATCTTGGACAGATGTCCTTGTCAAAGCCCGATTCCATCAGATCTCAGAAGCTAAGTCAGGTCAGACCTTGTACTTGGATGGGAGACCAGGTGCCATAGTGAAAGAAAAAATACAAAGATATGAATTAATACATGATATTTGGTTACTTCCTTAATTTTTTACACAATTTATTTTCTCTAGAATGACACTGTGAGTAATTAGTTGATCTAAAGCTAAAACTATAACTAACAACATAACAACTTGCTCAGTATCCAGATGTGATTTTGGCATGAAGAAAAAAAAATTAATAAGATGGGGTTTTTTTTAGGTGAAAATGTGACATATGCCCAGGTAAACCACCACAAAAAGAAGCAAAATCAAGGTGAGTAAACCTTATTTACTGTACTGTGTGCATGAGTGCTGGTGGTCGGAGGGATAGATAGCGCAGATTGGCAGCCTCACTTCAGTCAGTCTGCCACAGGGCAGCTGTGGCTTTAATACAGTAGCTTACCACCTCTGAGTGTGGAGTGAATGAATACTTCTTTTAAAGACTAAAGGTTAGATTTGAGTCTATATTAATGTTTTTATGTTGCCTGGAAATCCAGAAGGATATCTCTCTGTATTCAGATCTGTCCAGGCAAGTGTTTATGTACACTAGTGTATATATTTTACTATTGGTTAATTTCACTTTTATACACTTTTTGTTTTTTATTTTGCAGACCTGTGCTTTCCAAGGCTAGTCTTTTTCTTTCTTTTCTTTCTTTTTTTCATTATTTGTTTATTTATTTGTTTGTTTGTTTGCATACTTTTTATAGGATTGTTCTATTTATGTGATCGTTGGCAGTTTGGTTACTTCTTTATTTTTTTACATAATACGTTTTCTCTCGAATGACACTGAAAAATTTGTTGAGATAAAGCTTAACTATTTTACTAGGTACTACACAATAAATAAATAAATAAATACATACATACATACACACATACACAAATGAAATTATTGGTCCAAAACAATTTAGTATCCAGATGTCATTTTAGGGTGAAGAAAAATATGAATAAGATGTTTTTATTTTGTTTTTGTTTTGTTTTTTTTAGGTGAAAATGTGACATATGCGCAAATAAACCACCACAAAAAGAAGCAAAATAAAGGTAAGTCAATTATTTATCACAATATACTTGAAATGTTATTCTGTTTTGTGTATTTTACAGTTTACTTGCCCCAGGGCAGCTGTGGCTACAACAGGAGACGTATGCTTTATTATTATTATAGATTTGACAAGGACAGCTGTGCAACAAGGGAAAACCAAGACAAACTGTTTTAACTATTTTATCAGATATCAGCTTTGAAATGCTTAATATAAAAAGTGTCTCATCTGTATTTCCATTATCCATAATACAATTTGGTTTATTTGACAGATGCTGCTCACTCCCTACTTGAACTAAAATATATGAGAGGTGAGTTTGTTCTGCCTCTTCTGTATTTATTTATTTATATATTTTTTATTATAATTTTTGTTTTTAAATATAATTTCAGAGAGTAACAACCCCCCACAAGACGAGAGCTGTATTTATTCTAATATTCATCCACACTCTTCAGGTAAAACAAAGTTCTTAAAGCTCTTTACTTCTGTTATAAAAGTCCAGGATTGTGCAGGTGGCTCAGAGGTAAAGCTTCAGCGCATGTCCAGAGTTGATTTTGCACTTCACTAGTTCAGGCTCTTCATTCAAAACTTGCTTGATATAGAACTACTGATGAAGCTCAAATGCCCAAAAAATAAATAAGAGAAAATAATTAATACATTACATTTGGTTACTTCAGTTTTTTACTTAATACATTTTCTCTAGAATGTTTCTTAAATTTGAATAATTACTCACAGTGTCAATTTCACTAGGTACTGGATGTAACAGAAATCTTAGAAATTAATTATATGGTTCTGGAACTAAATTTCTAATTACTTTTTCTCATAGACTTTCTGAAAAAAATATACATAAATTATATTAAAAATTTGAAATCTTGCTCACGGCTAATTAGCTACGTGTTAACTAATGACCAAAAGACCTATTTTTTTCTGAAACTTCATATATAGCAAAGTTATTAAAACATTTCACTGAATCTTGTGTTTAAACTGCATCTTTGGACCTAAAACAGCCATGTTGTGGATATGAGTTAGCACGTAGCAGCATGTCTTTGAACTATTATATTATTATTATTATTATTATTATTATTATTATTATTATTATTATTATTATTGTAAAGGTCAAGTTAACTCTTATGTACATTAACATACAGTCCACGGCATTTATGCATTTAATATTAATGTTACGCTTTTATTTTGGTGACTTCCTGTGTGAGCGGAAGTTATGGTAAAACGTTAGCTTGGTGTACAGAAAAGACACAAAGTAAACACAGCAACGTTAACGGAGAAAAAACAAAAACAACCGTGAAATGTTATAAAAAAAATATATATATATTAAAGATAGCTGCAGTCGACAGGGGAACAAGTTTTTTTTTTTTTTTTTTTTTTGTGACCGTATATTTGAGCTTTTTGTAATTTATATTGAATTAATGTTAAAATATGGATAACAGTAATGAGCAGTGGATATGGTGTTCATACGGTCATTTCTGTTATTTTGTTCTTGTCCAGCTCTTACGTTGGTTCTATGACACAGCAAGGAAAAGATTCAATTCAGTTCTGGTCTTCTCAAATATTTATTTACTTATTTATTTATTTATTTATTTATTCATTCATTCATTCATTCATTTATGAGTAAAATAAATGGGAAGTTTACTTTAGGATCCATAGCGGGCGGTCACTGGAGAGCTCCATTATTGGTCCAAAACAACTACTAAACAAATGCAGATGTTATTTTGAAGTGAAGAAAAAATATGATTAAGATGTTGTTTTTTAGGTGAAAATGTAACATATGCCCAAGTCAGCTTCCACAAAATGAAGAAAAATAAAGGTGAGTCAACTTTATTTATCTCAAACTAATTTAAAACTGTATTTCATTTTACTTTTAGTATTTATAATTCAGTAAATATATATCCAAAATGAGCATTGTGGGCTTTCTAATTTTGCAGTTGCATTGTAAACAATTTTAGGGAATTAAAAGGTTTTTGGATATTTGAAATTGATTCTTTCCTCTTTTTTTATTTATTTTTTTAACAGCAAAAACCACCATGGATGACACCATTTACTCTCAGATCAACTAGAGCTCAATAACAATGAAATCTTAATGATGAATACAACTTTTTAAGCATTTGTGCATGTTTAATATTGCTTCATGATATGTATTTGTGTTTGCAGATTTATTTCATTATTTTTACTATGTATGCGCTAATGTAAAAACAATACACAGTGATGGTTTCATATTTTTAGCTAAATTCTTTAATAAATGTTCATTTTTTGCAAATTACTGCTTTTAGTATTTATTTTACATATATTTATTTTGGTGTTTTGGATTATACATCAGGCCCAGCTGAACTTGGTTTAAAAATATCCAACAGGTAGCCCATTAAAAACGTACTTCCAGGTTTGGTTTGGGCAAGAATCATTTGGTGACGCCACATTAACTTCACGTCTTTATACAGTTATATACGCTTTAGTCCATACCAACGGGTGAACAAATGAACTACTGCTAGGAAGGACTCAACTAAAGCAGAAATAAAGCATAATCCTTTGAAGATCTACGGACAGCCAAAATTATAATTTAAAAGTAGACTATTTTCAGTTTGTGGGACCATGGTGTAAGTCAGGGGAGTCCCACTTTTTTCATCAAGGGCCGCATTATCTAAACACCGACGAAGCGGAGGGCTGATCAAGGGCCGTAGACTGATGCTCAGTACAGTCAATAATTGAAATATGTGCATGTTTAAACATGTTACAATGAGCCATCAGTCTTTATTCATGCTAAAATCCTTAAAACCACACACTAAATATTAAATATTAGCTTTTTCAAGGTAGATTTTCAAAAAAAAAATTGCAGTAAAAAGTACATTTTTCAATCCAAAACATGCTACATAGGTCTCCAGGAAGAACAGTTGATAGCTAAGGTCAGTTAAATACAATCAATCATTTAACCTGCAACTACAGGAGAAAAATAACACTGGTGCTACACCCTGGTACAATGCATTTCTCCTGTTAAGGTTAATGTAAAAATTGTACACTGTCCCTGTCTCATTAAATAAATAAATTACTAAAATTAATTAATTAATTAATTAATAAAAAAAAAACAAAAACAAAAAAAAACGATGCAAGGTAATTTGGGCCAATTCACCTGGAAACCTGAGGGCCAAGAAAAAATGTATCTGAGGGCCGCATTTGGCCCATGAGCCATAGTTTGGACATGCCTAGTTTAAGTGGAATAAACAACGAGGAGCAGTGTGTTACACAGTTTTAATTTTGCTGACTGTCAGTATAACACACCACTTCTACTGTCTACTTTCACTTCAGTTAAATTATTTTGAAATACTTGTGTACAGTTTTGGGAGGAAGGAAGGAGGTGCTCTGGAAAAATCATGGGGTCATCTGACTTATTGGAGTCTGTCACCGTGTACACCTCCCATTGCCTGTGCCGTACTCACAACATCCTCTGGGACCTCCCACCCACCGTCTGGTCCAGCTGCTGCCTTCAGACTGAGGTAAAGGTCACTTCAGGTCAGAACCACTAGAATGGCCAACAGCCCCTAACCTCCAGGCGATCACAATCTTTAACAAGCACTTTCTCCTTCCACCGAGGACCCCGTGGGGAAGTTGGACCGACGTGGTCAAAGTAGGAGGCAGACAACAACAAAAATGTCTTTAACCAGACAAAAATTATTTTAAAACCGACTTCTGAAGTTAACATAAACAAAAGTACAAAAAAACAGAAAATAAGTAACTCAAATCAAAGGAAAACAATCTGCACAGAAGTCTCTCCCCTCTTTGCCAACACCTGCTTTGCTATAAATATCTATATAAACTATATAACTATAAAACCAAATACACAAAAATAATGAAACAGAACTTAAACCAGTTCTCCTGTCCACATGGTCCAGCCCTCGACCTCCTTCAAGGTTTTTAAAATGGCCGACATGAGGCACACCCGCTCTTTTGTCTAGACCATGTTGAGCTGCAGGTGAGTATGATGAATGGAAACAAATGAATTAACAAATAAAGCACATTTAAATAAACAATGTCTAATGTGATGATTAACAAAAAGAACCAGGAATTATTGTAACTGTACTGGGTATTGAGAATGACAGAATGTGTGAAATTAAATTAGTGAGTTTCAAAATGGGACAAAGGCATACTCTTTATAGCCCTCCACTCCCCACACCTGCCAGAACTGTGAACTGGACTCTGCACTGATGCAACAAAGTCACCAGCACCTTATACTGCTGTACCTCTTGTCATGTCCTGTCTGTTCCCTTTTATTTGTTATTATTATCCTGTTTTCTGTTGCAGATTTACTTCCTCCCTCTGTGTTCCCGCCTTTGATTACTGCCGCCCTAATTGCTCACCTGTGTCCATTAGCTCCCCTTTTTAGTCTGTGTCGTGTCTTCCCCCATTTGTCAGATGGATGTTTCTGTGTTTGTTGCAAGCCTTTTGGATTTATTAAAAACCTGTAATACTGCGTGACTCTCTTTTGGAGCCAATCTTCACCTACCTGACAGTACAATCTGACCAAGACATGGATCCCCAGACAGTTCGAGCTGCACTCCAAGCAAGGACAGAGAATTCAACAGCAAAAGCAAGTGAGTAGCCTCAGAAAAGAACTCAGATCTGCCAATGGGGTCACCAGGAGGCATTTTCTCATATCTACTCAGATGAACTTTATCATTGAACGACTCAAGCAAATGGAGGTTACATCGTTTCACCTGCGGAGCTACTCCACCTCCCACTCCTGAAGTTGTTTATGCCCTTGTCCTCCTGGATCTTCTCACATTCGTTTGTCAAGTCCTGAGAGATTTTCCGGTGAGTCCGGGGACTGTCGGCCATTTTTGTCTCAATGCGAGTTGCATTTTGAATTCCAACCTGCTTCATTTCCCTCACCGTGCTAAAGTTGCGTTATAATCTCCTATTTGACTGGTCGAGTAGAGCCTGGGCACAGCGGAGTGGGATCGGCGCTTCTACTATCTGTAATTCCCTTCCCTTTTTCAAGACCTTCAACCAAATCTTCCAGACTGTTTCCTGGTCGAGAGGCTGCTAAGGCCTTTCTCATTACGACAAGACGACGCAGTGTGCTGGATTTGCCTTGGAGTTTCGTACTCTCTCAGCTGACAGTGGTGGAATCAGTTGGCCCTAGTGGATGCTTTTTTTAACGGACTTTCTGAGACTATTAAAGACCACCTTACTCCCCTTGATTTACCCTCTGAGTTGGAGGCTTTAATTGCACTGCCTCTAAAATTGATAAGAGGCTGACCGAGAGGAGCGAGTCCGTACCCGTCAGCTTCCCCCACTGTCGAGAAGAATGAACTTCAGGGAGAAGGTTTCCTTCTGTCTCCTCCGAGCCTTCTGTGCCTACTGTTGTTTCAGGAGAACCCATGCAGATTGGTCGCACTAGGCTATCTCTCGCTGAAACATCAGCGCGCATGGACGGGGACGCTGCATTTATTGTGGCCAACTTGGCCATTTCTTGCCTCTTGCCCTGTGAGGAAATGTTGGCCCTATAAAGTCTTCTGTCCTGGTGAGTTCTGCTCTCTTAAGTCCTGTACTAAACGCCAGCTTACCAAGGTTCAGCTTACTACCCCCTCTTGTTCTCGCAGTCTCCCAGCGCTTAATTGATTCCGGAGCCGACTCCAATTCATGGACTTGTTCTTTAGTTAAGGACTTGGCCTCTCCATGCTACCTGTCTCAGCCCATGACAGCTACCGCTCTTGATGGTCGCCTCTGTGCACTGTAACTCATAACACCAGTCCCATTACTCTTCAGTTCCCTGACTCTCACTCTGAACAGATGCATTTTCACATTTTTTGAATCTGCCCCATCACCATTAATCCTTGGCTATCCCTGGCTTACTCAGCACAGCCCCCACATAGACTGGTCTACGGGTGCTATTGTTTCGTGGGGTCCCAGCTGCAAGAATCTGTGTTTTCCCTCTGTGACGCCTTGGCAGATCAACAGTTCCCAGATCTGTCATCTGTTCCTGAATTGTTACATGGAATTGAAAGAGGTCTTCAACAAGGCTAAGGCTAACTTCTTTACCACCTCACCGCTCCTACGACCTGCGCTATTGACCTCCTTCCAGGAACCTCACCGCCCAAGGGACGCCTCTACTCACTGTCAGCTCTCGTGAACACCAAGCTATGGACGACTACATCTCCACTTCTCTTAAAGCTGGAGTTATCGCCCGTCCTCTTCCCCTGCTGGCGCTGGATTTTTCTTTGTTGACAAAAAGGATAAGACTCTCAGACCATGCATTGACTACAGAGACTTAATGACATCACCATCAAGAAACAGGTACCCCCTCCCGTTAATTTCTTCTGGTTTTGAGTTGTTGCAGGGAGCCAAGATTTTCACCAAATTGGACTTGAGAAAATGCTTACCATTTGGTTAGAATAAGGGAGGGGGATGAATGGAAGACAGCCTTTAACACCCCTAGTGGCCACTATATGAATATTTAGTAATGCCTTTTGGCCTGACTAATGCACCTGCTGTGTTCCAGGCTCTGGTCAATGACGTTCTAAGGGACATGTTAAATAAGTTTGTGTTTGTTTATTTAGATGACATTCTCATCTTCTCTCCTGATGTTGAATCTCATGTTTCCCATGTAAAACAGGTGCTGAAGAGACTCCTGGACAATCAATTATATGTTAAAGCAGAAAAGTGCGAGTTTCATGTCTCCTCAGTGTCATTTTTAGGCATGGTGGTTAGCCAGGGAGAGCTGAAGATGGACCCTGGCAAGGTCCAAGCAGTCAAGAACTGGCCCACGCCCTCCTGCCGTAAGGACGTTCAGCGTTTCTTGGGCTTTGCCAATTTTTACCGCAAGTTTATAAAGAAACTTCAGCTCCATTGCCGCACCCTTGCATGCACTTACCTCTTCTAAGTTTCAGTTCTCCTGGTCCACTCAAGCAGAAGAGTCCTTCCAAAAGTTGAAAACTTTGTTCACATCAGCGCCTGTGTTGACTCTTCCGGATCCCTCACGGCAGTTCGTGGTTGAGGTTGATGCATCGGATGTGGGCATTGGAGCAGTTTTGTCACAGAGGTCAGTCAGAGACAATAAGTTGCATCCCTGTGCATTTCTGTCCAAGAAACTTTCTTCTTCAGAGCGCAACTACGATATTGGGGACCGAGCTTCTGGCTATAAAGGTGGCATTGGAGGAGTGGAGACATCTACTGGAAGGGACTGAACAACCTTTCCTTGTATGGACAGACCATAAGAACCTGGAATATCTCAAGTCAGCGAAAAGACTAAACCCAAGGCAAGCAAGGTGG